ATCAACGTTAGATGTATTCCTTGCTAACAAATATCATCTAGTACATAACCTAGATCAAAGATATCATCCTGAAGACTACCTCCAGTCATTTAATACACCATAAACTACATAAACCAAACAGTTTTACTAATCCACTTTTACTATTTCACAAAGTGTTCAGTGTCAATAAGTGACAATTAAAAATGATTTCTAGTATAGGAGTTGTGGAGATTATTAAGTTTTTGATTAAAATCATGAACCGACTGATGTTAGACCACCTCCGGGAACCTGGAGGCACTGGACGGCCGTTTCGTCCTGCTGTGGGACTCCTCAGCTGTGCTCATCCACGACCCCGCCTCGCAAGGTTCGAAACCAGGGCCTTCAGTCTCGCTCGCGAACGCTTAACCTACTGTACCACTGAGCTGGCATCCAACGGTGATAGTGTCTAACATCAGCCAATCCACGTAATTGCGCGAATATCTTCCATTGTACCGAGATACACACCTGTTTCTACCCGACATGGATTAGCTATACTGGTCATGGCTTGCACTGCTGAAGAGTCCCACAATAAGACGAACTGGCCGTTCAGTGCTTTCAGGTTTCCAAAGGTGGTCAAACATCAATCGGTTCATGATCTCAATTAAAAATGAGTTGCAAAGAAAATACAACAGATTATTAGACACTTCGTATTGTTTACTTGTATCTTCCCATTATCAACATCAACTCTGAGATACAGGTACATCCAACTGATGAGTCCCAAATAGGATGAAACACGCGTCAAACTGGATTCCCCTACTAACCACTATCCATCTCTGCTTATAATACTTGTGACTTAAGGCTATATCGAGACAGTACGCACAGGATGCACACACACACCAATAAGAGACTGATCAATTGCAGTCCTGAACATCAATGGGAAGATACAAACCAAACAATACCAAGTGAATTTAAACTTCACCTCATTACACAAGTAAATGGATATCAAGACTCAGTAACTAAGTAGATAACGTGATGGTGTTTAAAGCGAATGATACTGGGTTCGAGTCCCTTCTAGGATGAACATCAACTCTGACATACAAGTACATCCAACTGACAAATCCTAAATAGGATGAAACGCGCATCAAACTCGATTCCATTACTAACCACTATCAATCTCTTTTCAATTACATTAACATCTCTAAGTAAAAATAATCACATTTATTCTTATTTAATCGATCATGTTGATGATCATAACTTTCGTTGTTGTCGTTGTTGGTGGTGTTGTTGGTGTTTTAATTAAGTTTTCTATTGTCAATCTAATTAGTTTAGTTAATGAAAAAAATGAATTGTGAACATAGAATGAATGAAAATTCTATAACACAGTATGTTGTAAAGATGGACATGAACTGAAAAAAGCGATGAGAGAATTTACAATGCTGAATTTCTAATGAGATTGATTGACTTGTTACTATTTCATATTTGAATTCATGAATTGATCTATGCTAGAATAGTGTTGGAAAACTGGAAGCAATAGATGGCCATATTGTACTAGTATGAGACTCTTCGATAATGTGCTTCTACAATCCTGAATGTGCGACTTGAACACAGGAGTGTCGGTCTCTCATGCGAACACTTAACTTCTAGATCAATGTGCTAGCCGACATCCAACGGTGTTAATGTCTAACTTCAATCGATCTATGATCTTGCACAACCATTCATCTACTGTCTGAAGTAGATACATGTCTCTACCGGACACGGATTGGACTTCACAGGACACGACTTGAAAATGTTTTACATGTGCATTGCTTTTACGGTTCCACTATATACTATATGATGTAGGTCACCAAATAACCACTGTTTCATATATACACATATTCAGTAATAGAGACTATTGTTAACTGTTTGGTATCAACTGGCATAACAGAAGAGTTTCACTGAATAAATGAAAAGCTGATCGGTTTCAGTGTCCGAGTTCTACATAAGGAACCAACTGTCGTCCATTGATCATTAGTCGCAAAACGTCTACAAACTACATTGAAATCATGAACCAATCAATGATAGACAACCACTGAGAGAATGAAATCACCGGACGACCGTTTCATCTTAGTATGGATACTCACTGTTGACGAGTACCAAACCAGCATGAAACGGTCATCTAGCTTGAATGAACTCGTAATTACATCCATTCAACAAACTGATGTCACAAAAGTTGGCCGAGGATTGATAGTCCAGTGTTCATTATCACAACAAATTAAGATGTAACAATTGAAGGTGAATATTCAGTACGAACTGACAACAATTGGACAATCAATATTATGATAGTTCTCTCGTATTTCCGATTCATTACCAATCAAAGATCATCGTGTCTAAACTAGTTTTCATTATTTATTCAAGGAAGTCAACACTTAACATGACAAGACAGGTTCCAGCAATCAAACTGAGAATCATCGAAATGTAGAAAACAATCAGAGTTTCCACACACCTAGATTGCAGGATCACACACCAATCCATACAACATCCAGGTCAGTAGATTCTCATATCGAACAGACTACTGTACTTCACAACTATTGAAATGGATGCTCGAATATTCACACTACTGACGACAATCATTTCAAGTTATTTGGAATACCATCAGTCATTACCACGAATATCTCATTGTCGAAATCGTTCAATTCATTGTTCGTTTCTCGTCCACATATTCACAAACACATAATGAAAACCAATTCAAACTGAATTCATTGTTATTGAACAGAATTCCTGTCAACCGAATAAATGCCTATGTTGTCTCTTCACGGTCGAATTCAATGGTGAAATGTTCACATGATGTACTTCAGCAAGCAAATAACCAAACTGGAGAATGGTCTAAACAATAAGTCGATGATGTTGAGATGAACAGTAGTAAACGTGTAGTAAGGTATTTGTGTTGAGCTAATCGATTACAAATATACACCTATTTATACATGGATAGTACTCAATGGATGATAATTGGATGAAACGAGAAATGGAGATGAATTCTAATGAAGAGATGAGTAAACGAGATCACTGAATAATTGGAATGATATGACATAACAAAGTGGAATGGTTTAATGACCCTTGAATATCTGACTCCAAGTAGATCGTACGAATAATTGTCGTCGAAATATACATGTCACAAATCCTCATATCTAATCATCGAATTGAATTGCGTTGGTGAATTACGGAATTCAATAAGTTGAATACGAGAATGGACTTTTGAATGCTTATATTTTACACAATGATTGTTCTGGACAGACAATTAGAGGTAAGAAGCGAACGAAGTGGAGAAAACAGTGTGAACTGAAATGATGCTCAGTGAAGAAGGCGTGTGTGCCAACAACACAGTTTTCGACTATACGATCAAATTGGAGAGAGATGACGGACTAGTAAAAGTGGTGAGTTCGTCGACAACATCATCTGATCTAATTGGCGTGAAAATAACGAGCCAGTAAAATTGTACGAAATATAATGTGTAGAATTGATTGCAAAGATTAGCTGTAATGGAAATTAAGGTTAATATGAAGAAATGGCTAATTGAATGGATTAGCAGTGCCATAATGCTTACCTCTGATGGAATATACTAATATCTGTTGGAGTAAAAGAGACTTTAATCTTATGTGTTTTCTTCTTCAATGGAAAAATATAGCTGAAGATACCATTGTGTTTATGCTTAGTTATGAAATCAATACTGTTATGCACGGTACTTGAATTCAATCAACTCATGTATGTTGTGTAACTTACTATAACCAAATAGGCTGAGTATCATTTCACATGAATCAACACTTTGTTATTATAGTTATTGCCCTGTGCAATACAAACGTGGTTTGATAAGGTGTCTTTTCAACAGACTCGATCGTATTTGTACCAATGACGCCATTGATGATGATGTTAAGTTGTTAAATAAAACGTTAATAGAAAATGGCTATCCTCTGAAATTCATAAATAGATGGAAAGTCCATGGTACAGCGAGACCTACTGTAGCCTCGGTAGAGAAAAAGCCTGTCTACATCACCTTACCATTCAGAGGTGATTCAAATAGCCTTTTATTGAAACAACGACTTAAATCAGTCATCAATAAAACCTATTGTGCAGCAAAGGTCATCATCAAAGAAAGAACAAGGTGCATGCTTCATTCAAAACCTAAAGTACATGGAAACGATTGCGTCACATCTCAACTGACTCATGATTTCAATCTGTGAAATTTCTAAAATCTCCACAAAACCCATTCTGATAATAATCAACTGCTCACTAATGACTGACTTCAGGAAAAACTCCTGGAGTTCTAGTGAGAAGCCGTTACCAGTGGAGTTCAACCAGGTCTGTTGTGAAATATCAACTCACTGAAGACAATGGTGTACGGTGGCGCAACTTCTTGGATTGGTTGAAGTTAGACATTAACACCGTTGGATGCCGGCTCAGTGGTCTAGTGGTTAAATGATCGTGCGCGAAGCCAGTAGTTCCTGGGTTCGAGCCCCGCGTGGTGCGGGATCATGGATGCGCACTGCTAAGGAGTCCCATACCAGGACGAAACGGCCGTCCAGTGCTTCTGGGTTTTCAATGGTGGTCTAGCTTCAACTGACTCATGATTTCAACTTGTGAAATTTCTAAAACTCTCCACAAAACCCATTCTGACAATTTGTTTATCTTAACTTGTCATTTCAGTTGATCATCTGGTTGAAAGGTGGTATTATTGAAAAATCAATATTGAATCTAAGCTGTGTAGCCATGTTGTAACATTCAAGTAAGTAACCATAGAATAGTTACTGCAATTTATACTGGAACTCATTCACATTGTGCAACTACTATGATGATGAATTTAAAGATCAAAGATCCAATTCACATGTTTTATGATGAAAAAAAAACATTAAATTGAGACGATTGAGTTCGATTCATGTCTTCAACTAAACCATCTTATTGATGTATAAAGTGACATTGTTGATAATTGTCTCATTTTTAAATCTGGTTGGATTCTATACATTCGGACTGTCGACTGAAGTAGGTGAGAACTGTTTTAAACTTGATCATCCATGAAAGATGGATTGGTAGGTAGGTAGGTAGGTTATGGCAAATGCTCATTTCGAAGAAGACACTTCTACTGTATAGGGTGGAAACTTGAAGAACTACGAAACCCATCATCCAGAAGAAACAAGTGTTTATTAATAGTTTCTTACGCAAAATACTTCGAATACGTTGGTCAGACACTATCAGAAATAACCTATTGTGAGAGAGAACATTCCATATTCCAGTGGAGGAATAAATCAAGAAGAAGCACTGAAAGTGGATAGGACACACATTGAGGAAATCACCCAACTGTCTCACAAGGCGAGCCTTCACATGGAATCCTTAAGGCCAAATGAGAAGAGGAATATTAAAGAACACATGACACCGTTGAATGAAGACAGATATGAGAAGAATGAATAACAATTGGATAGAAGTGGAAAGAAAGCCCCAGGAGAGAATGGGTTGGAGAATGCTGGTCGTTGGCCTATGCCCCATTGGGGTTAACAGACATATGTAAGTAAGAAAATATTCAGTAAGGAAAATTTAATTGAATAATACACATTCCTGTAAAAATACAAGAAGCTTCCATTAAATAAAATCCACTCTCACTATATGAAACAGTTTGAACATGAAATATTTACATAACCTGTTCAATATATGTAAGCAAACTTAGATACCTGTTGTCAAATACCAATTCATTCCTCAACATCAAACAGTAAGTACTTGATATAACGAATGGAAACAGCTGGAAAGGATAGTCCAACAAAGGTTTGGATGGAGAGTACTGGTAGGCGGTCTATGCTCCTTCACGAGGAGTAACACACGTAAGTATGTAAGTAAGTAAGTAAACAAAGTTATCAACATATAGCATTCCAGAATTCAAACAAACATCAACGAGATTGTCTGTCAACAGAATCAATCAATCAATCATTGATTGAGTAATAAGAAACACTAAACAACAATCATATTCATAGTCATATCAATGCAATACATGACTTACAATCCATTCATTCATTCATTCATTAACCACTTATAATATCAACATTAATTGACAGATATCATAAAATGAGTAGCACATTTAAACTTGATTCAATCCACTGTTATTATCTTTGATGCTCACTGGTAACGTCTCTGACTGTGAAGCTGGGTGACACGAGATCGAATCCGCCAGGAAGCACCAGTTCCCTCAAGATTACAGGTACACCTTGCTGACGAGTGCCAACTAACACGAAACCTGGGTCCAGGTTTTCCTGTCGACTACCTCCAACCACCATCTAATCTCAATATATAGTGTCCGCAATGTCGAGTCACCTAGACTGGTGGCCACATTGCAACATGATCGATAGCATTCGATCTGTACTAATAATAAGGACTAGACACGCATGATATTGATCACCACCCAGTTATCATTCAGCTGTGTTGTTCAACACTACTAGATGTATCATCTGAATAGAATTCGTGAAGTACCAATGAATGGATATTTGAATAAAACACTATGGTTACATTGATGTACACATGTATGAGATGGATAGTTTACTTCAATATGAATTGAATAATAAAACTTAAGAAAAATCAATTATTTACACATTGTACATGTGACATTGTATATCATCTGATAATCGATCAATTAAATTGTTCACAACAATCGATAGAATTGTGCAAACACTGATGAGTGTTGTGAGGAGGAAGGTGAGGATACAGAATGTTAAAAAACCATGCAAATATTAATTGTACTTTGTTCATTGTGATGATGATGATGATGCTTTGGATGATGATGATGCTTTGGATGATGATGATGATTTGGATGATGATGATGATGATGATGATGATGATTTAGATGATGATGATGCTTTGGATAATGATGATGATGATTTGGATGATGATGATGATGATTTAGATGATGATGATGATGCTTTGGATGATGATGATGATGATGATGATGATGATGATGCTTTGGATGATGATGATGATGATGCTTTGGATGATGATGATGATGATGATGATGCTTTGGATGATGATGATGATGATGATGATGCTTTGGATGATGATGATGATGATGATGATGCTTTGGATGATGATGATGATGATGCTTTGGATGATGATGATGATGATGATGCTTTGGATGATGATGATGATGATGATGATGATGATGATGCTTTGGATGATGATGATGATGATGATGCATTGGATGATGATGATGATGATGCTTTGGATGATGATGATGATGATGATGATGATGATGCTTTGGATGATGATGATGCTTTGGATGATGATGATGATGATGCTTTGGATGATGATTTAGATGATGATGATGCTTTGGATGATGATTTAGATGATGATGATGATGCTTTGGATGATGATGATGATGATGCTTTGGATGATGATGATGCTTTGGATGATGATTTAGATGATGATGATGATGATGATGATGATGATGATGCATTGGATGATGATGATGATGATGATGCTTTGGATGATGATGATGATGATGCTTTGGATGATGATGATGATGATGCTTTGGATGATGATTTAGATGATGATGATGATGCTTTGGATGATGATGATGATGATGATGCTTTGGATGATGATGATGCTTTGGATGATGATGATGATGATGATGATGCTTTGGATGATGATGATGATGATGATGATGCTTTGGATGATGATGATGATGATGCTTTGGATGATGATGATGATGATGATGATGCTTTGGATGATGATGATGATGATGATGCTTTGGATGATGATGATGATGCTTTGGATGATGATGATGATGCTTTGGATAATGATGATGCTTTGGATGATGATTTAGATGATGATGATGATGCTTTGGATGATGATGATGATGATGCTTTGGATGATGATTTAGATGATGATGATGATGCTTTGGATGATGATGATGATGCTTTGGATGATGATTTAGATGATGATGATGATGCTTTGGATGATGATGATGATGCTTTGGATGATGATGATGCTTTGGATGATGATGATGATGATGCTTTGGATGATGATTTAGATGATGATGATGATGCTTTGGATGATGATGATGATGATGATGCTTTGGATGATGATGATGCTTTGGATGATGATTTAGATGATGATGATGATGCTTTGGATGATGATGATGATGATGATGCTTTGGATGATGATGATGATGATGCTTTGGATGATGATTTAGATGATGATGATGATGCTTTGGATGATGATGATGATGATGATGCTTTGGATGATGATGATGCTTTGGATGATGATTTAGATGATGATGATGATGCTTTGGATGATGATGATGATGATGCTTTGGATGATGATGATGATGATGCTTTGGATGATGATGATGATGATGCTTTGGATGATGATGATGATGCTTTGGATGATGATGATGATGATGCTTTGGATGATGATTTAGATGATGATGATGCTTTGGATGATGATGATGATGATGCTTTGGATGATGATGATGATGATGATGATGCTTTGGATGATGATGATGATGATGATGATGCTTTGGATGATGATGATGATGATGATGCTTTGGATGATGATGATGATGATGATGATGCTTTGGATGATGATGATGATGATGATGCTTTGGATGATGATGATGATGATGATGATGATGATGATGCTTTGGATGATGATGATGATGATGATGATGATGATGCTTTGGATGATGATGATGATGATGCTTTGGATGATGATGATGATGATGATGCTTTGGATGATGATGATGATGATGATGATGCTTTGGATGATGATGATGATGATGATGATGCTTTGGATGATGATGATGATGATGCTTTGGATGATGATGATGATGATGATGCTGATGATGCTTTGGATGATGATTTAGATGATGATGATGATGCTTTGGATGATGATGATGATGCTTTGGATGATGATGATGATGCTTTTGATGATGATGATGATGATGCTTTGGATGATGATGATGCTTTGGATGATGATGATGATGATGATGCTTTGGATGATGATGATGATGATGATGATGATGACGGTAGAGAGGATGAAGAAGCCAATGAACTAGTTCCTTATTCTATGATTGATACATTTCCAGATAAGAGATTATGAATTCAATGATTAATCCTTCATGAATGATCCAGTGTATAATTTTGCATTGATGATAATCTGTCTATTAGTAAGTGAAAATCATAACAATTAAAGATGAACTGTAGTTCATTTCAAAGTGTCGAGCGTTATTCGGAATGAGCTGGTTGATCTATCTCAATGTTACATATAAAATATAACAAACATCTAATCGAATTTCTTTTCTCTTCTTCAGTTCAAAACCATGTTGAGTTATTCAGAATACAAACATCTTCAGAGATATTCTGTCAAAAATAGTCATTTATCATTGATGAGTAGACAATAGACAACATCACATGCAGTTTAACTATCCCTGATGCAATTAACTAGTCTGAGTGATCGAGTTTATAATACCACACAATGTTAGACACTTGATCAACTCACTCTACACAAACTAGATCACATTACATTAGATATACGATTTACGATCAAGAATAGAGAAGTGGAGTTCTCAAGGCAATACTTCATTTCACACAATTACAAGGAATAGCACAGTGAATCTCGAGTAAAGATCAATAAAACGAAAGTAAATTACATATTTATGAGTCAATAAGTTGAATCTCTTTCCATCTATACTCACTGACCAATCATATTCGCTTTCAATATAACACATCACTGTGTTCGAAATAATTTCCTCTGTTACATCTTACATGATCTTGTTGATCACATTCTCTCAATGAAGATTGAACCATAAATCAACTTTCCTTTTCTTTTACGAGTTCATCACAACTACAAATAATCGACTGCACAACTTCGGTTGCTGATTAACAATAACTGTTCCTCTGTAATCTTGTATCATTCATTGTTCAATTGATTATTGATTGATTCAAACTGAAAATTGTTTTTATTTATCACTCAAAACTATATTCATTCCAAATTCACTTGGTTTGAGTTCGAGTCTCAGAGTGAATATAAACTACGAGATGCAAGTAAATACACACGACGAGTCCCAAATTGGACGAAACGTGCATCCTGGATTCCATTGCTAATCACTATTCATCTTTGCTATATTCATTCTATTTTATGCTTCACTCAACCATAATACTAAATATTATCAACCTAATAAAATCTTCAATGCCACTATTCATGTGATCAAGTCACGCTTAATTATTTCATTTTCACACCCTCAATTAAAATGTATCAGTATCAACCAACATTAGATCCATTCGTTTATTCTTGTTTAAACTATCCGTTCCAAGTGAATTGTTTACATCTGAAACAGTAATTGTTACACATTGTCAACTTTGTAACGATCTAATTGTTGACATCGAAGAGAACAATTCACGGTTCTTGTCCATAATGATACACATCAGTGAACCGGAATGGAACACATTTCATTATATGATGATCAAGTAATAAACCAATGAACAGCTCACTGATCAGTCGAACTCGTCATCATCATCATCATCATCATCATCATCATCATCATCATCATCATCATCATCATCATCATCATCATCATCATCATCATCATCATCATCATCATCATCATCATCATCATCATCATCATCATCATCATCATCATCATCATCATCATCATCATCATCATCATCATCATCTCATCATCATCATCATCATCATCATCATCATCATCATCATCATCATCATCATCATCATCATCATCATCATCATCATCATCATCATCATCATCATCATCATCATCATCATCATCATCATCATCATCATCATCATCATCATCATCATCATCATCATCATCATCATCATCATCATCATCATCATCATCATCATCATCATCATCATCATCATCATCATCATCATCATCATCATCATCATCATCATCATCATCATCATCATCATCATCATCATCATCATCATCATCATCATCATCATCATCATCATCATCATCATCATCATCATCATCATCATCATCATCATCATCATCATCATCATCATCATCATCATCATCATCATCATCATCATCATCATCATCATCATCATCATCATCATCATCATCATCATCATCATCATCATCATCATCATCATCATCATCATCATCATCATCATCATCATCATCATCATCATCATCATCATCATCATCATCATCATCATCATCATCATCATCATCATCATCATCATCATCATCATCATCATCATCATCATCATCATCATCATCATCATCATCATACTCAACATTCAGTAATATCCCCATCTGTTCTCGTTGCAAATATAGTTGTTTGTAATAGACATCAATATTGATGAATTTCTGAGTTTATTGAATGATTTCAATGGATTGTAGAAACTCGGTTTGTGTTGAAATGAAACTCATTCACTTTGAATAAATAATAATAATAAGTGATGGAATTAATGTTTGATAATCAGTAAAGCCGACATGTCTCAAACCTCAATTCTTGACAATGTGACATCGTACAGTGATACATGACCTATACAATCCTCAATTAAACGGTCTCTATAAACTGATGTAAGATATAAGAGTAACAAGATGTTATCTATCTATATATGTCTGTTATATATCATCTCATTTCATCTCTCGTTGGAGTGATACAAGCTATATCTCAATAAATGCATAGCATCGTTAAACACATTCTATACCTAACCATTATGTGCATATCTACATTGTATGTTTATCTGTACTAATTTGATTTAGTTTGAGCCATGTTGGGAGATACAGATTACTTGGTTGGGGTCCGCCGGTGACTATCGTAATCAATGGTTAGAGACTCTTGATGAAATGGCTCAGGATCGATCGATCACAATGGCGTCGGTGTATACACTCTCTGTCTTCCCTTAAACTAAGAGATTGAAATCACTTTATATCTTTCTTTCTACGAACTAATTCTTTCTTCCTGTACTATATCCTTATATTTAATCTTTCTTTTATGTACTACTACCACTGAACTAACTACTTCTATGCATCCAGTGTTCGTCTTGTTGTACTAATGAGGTATGGCAACTTGGACCGATACATATATGTATCTGGTTCCTACGTTGTAGCTGACTGACTGACTGACTGACTAATTTGGTCAGTTTCCCAGTCAATCAAAGATCATTTCATTTGAAAAATACATTCTAGGATAGCATAAACCTGTTATTTGGTTTTTCTGAGCTATTGTCCTAACTTTAGAAAGTCATTATTCTATTTTAACATTATGCGAAATGATGGATGATTACTTTTGACGAATGGATAACTCAAAGTAACCAACTACATCATGTTGCTTGGTTTATCAATGACTATTCATCAGAATTTAGTCCATGATGAAAACTTTCCTAAGTAATACACAAAGATCGTTATTACGAAAGCTTATTAGTAAGAATAAGTAAAAAGATGATAGCGAGACCACCACAGCAAGCACCAGTCCATGGCATACATGTTGATTGTCCTTAACCTAGACAGGGATAGATGATCTGTTGGATATTCATTGACCTAACTGCCGGATGATTTGGCTAGGGCTCAGTGACATTTTAATGACCCTACAATTTTAACATCAAGCTAACATATGTTTCATGAAGGTTCACATGCTATCTTCCATAGACTTCACTTTAGAAAATGAGCTAGCTCAGTTAGTTTCTTTTCTCGATGTGCATCAAACGAGGAGTGATGGCTCTTTAAAAAGATCCCGTTTTAGAAAAGAAATATAGAATGGCCAGCTAACCAATTTTTGTAGCTGAGTTCCTCTAAGCAGAAAGAGGAATCTTATTCACTCTTTATGATACCGAATACATCGGATATGTTGTACGAAATACATTGACGTAGAACTCTCATTCTTCTGAAAAATTCTGGCGGAAAACGGCTATCCAAGCCGCTACATAGAAAAGAATATGAAAAACGGTCGGGACAAAGAATCCGAATTTTACGTTCCGAAGAAATAAGTTTATAGGAATCCGGAATTCAGAGGTGATGAAACATCTGATATAACTAAATATCAGTTAACGGTTGCGATAAGAAGAGCATTCTATGCGGCAAAACCGCGGATAACGTTCACTAATAGGTATTTGTTTTCTGTATCCATAAAGAACATGCTTCTCCGTCTGGCCTTCTCCATATTCATTTATCAGTTCACCTGCTACTGTGGATCAAGGTACATTGGTCGTAGCTAGCGCTCACTTTCAACTCGTATACGGGAACATGTCTCAGTGTAATTCTACAGTGGTGATAGGAAAGCAGTTAAAAGTCCCATCATTGAACATCTGGTCGACTCTAATCGTTCTACTGATTCACAAGTTGATTTTAAGTTTGTTTATACGATTCATCCAAATCTACCTAGATTTCTTAGTATCTAATTCCTTAGAATAGCAGAAGCTCTCACTATCCAATGAGCTCCCTTTACCTAGGTCACAAATTTTCATGATTTTCAGCATTGGTGTTGTGGAGATTATTAAGTTTTTGATTGAGGTCATGAACCAATTGATGTTAGACCACCGTTGGAAACCTGGAAGCACTGGACGGCCGTTTCGTTCTGTTGTGGGACTCCTCAGCAATGCTCATCCCCGACCCCGCCTCGCAAGATTTGAACCCAGGCACTACCAGTCTCGTGAGCAAGCGTTCAACCACTAGAATGAAACGGTGTTTCCAGGTTTTCCATGTTGGTTTAGCTTCAATTGATTCACGATCTCAACTACTGAAATGAGACCGTTTGATAATGTTGATAATTATTTAAAGTCAATGATTCAATTACCAGTCTGAACAACATATCATTTGCTTAAACTTGAGAAACAAATGAGTACTTGGTGCTGGTTACTTGTATCTTCTCATTGTTGTTTTAGGACTACAATTGATCAGTCTTTTATTATTGGCATATGTGCATCCTATGTGACTGTTTCATTCTAGTATGCGATACTTTCGATAGTATACATTTAAGATTTCTACAAGATCCCAGTGGGGGATCAGAAAAATTACGGACAAATATAGGACTAAGAATCAAATTAGTCGGAGATATAATCAAACACAATGACAGGTTAAATATCAACAATAACCATATGTGAAGAAATTCAAACACTTCACATTTACTTGAAGTTTGTACTAATGATATCGTTGAGCAGAATGACGAAAGCTCCACAAGCAAACCATTCAACTCAAAGAACAAAACTCCACCGAAACTTTGCATCTCACACATAGTATCACTATTACTTTTAGTCCATGAGTTTCATCGCAAATTGCACTGTCACGACCTGAGATGTTTCATGGTGTAGGAGTAGGATGGAAGAAAGCTAGGGGCGGTCAGACGAAAACATGGCACAAATTTATGAAGTCACTAAGAAGTGGACTAAAACATGTTGGTAAGTGTAGAATACCTGGTTGGGGCCTCCGAATGCCCTGGTATGGCCGAGATGCTCTCACATGGCCACGCGTATATAGCCTTTGTCAAGGAAGTCCTACTCATTGCCTTCTCGTGGCATCACCGTTGTTTACGAAGTTGAGAGGATGAAAAGCGAATGTCCGGCGCTTTAACCGGGTTGGTGGACATGGAGAATCCACTTATGGTAGTTGGAAAACCCTCATTCCAAACCAATGGTGCACATGGGCTGCAGTATCCTGAAACAACAAATTGTGTATGAACCAATCGTTGGTCACCGGCTACTATGGGACTGCACCTCTTTACCTATCTCCACTGCCTTGTGGATCAGACCTTCAGGTCGAAAGCTCCAGATGTGGCCCCCTAAGAAACCACCTGCTTCGATTTGAGCATCCGGTCAGCATCACAACCCTCACACATATCAAATGAGATCTGTGTGGCGCATATGTATGTAGTGCCTCCTTGTACCAATATCTATGTGTTAAAATAAATAAATAAATAAAACCTGGTTTGGATCCGCGAGATGATAGCAACTGATGGTTAGAGACCTTGAATGATATAGCTCAAAATCGTTTATAATGGTGTGCGCAGGTAAATCCATTCTTTGTGTTTTACCAAATTCTAATCTTCTGAATTCTTCATGTCCCCTTTCTTCTTCTCTTTCCAAATCTATTTCACTGAATTATACTCCTTGAATAACATTTTCAAACTCTAATCTTTCAGATTACTACTTATACTCTTACCGTCTCTATCACTATGGGATTTGACAATCTTGTCTCTGTGGTAATGTGGTGTGGCAACTTGAATTGATGTACGTACGTACGAAGCTCTACGTTGTTGGTGACTGACTGACTATAAATTTCATTCAATATTCAAAAGTACACAACTTACTTACGTCTGTTACTCCTCGTGAAAGAGCATAGACCGCTCACCAGCATTCTCCATTCAACCTTGTCCTAGGCAAAAAAAGTACATAACTACAATAAACTTATTCGTTACATGATAATGACTTTCTATTGAAAGAAAAACGTATATACAAAATGTCCAGATTTTTGAAAAGAAGACCATTGAAATGACACCAAAGAAAAGAAAACTTTATTCGAAATGATCCGGGCTTCTTTCTTTCTTTCTTTCTTCCTTTCTTTCTCTCTCTTTTCTTTCTTTTCCTTCTTTACTTTACATAAACTTTTTTTCCCATTTTTTTCTTTTTGTGAAGAAGAAAAAAACAAAAAAGAAATCAAACTTTTGCAAATGGCGGTCTTTTTTTCTTCTTTCAAATTAGCTTTTGTTTATTTCTTTATTATTGACAATCGAACTATAGGAAAGATAGTTATTTATTGATTGGTTATATTAATACCTTATTGGTTAGTTTTTGTGCAAATGGGATAAATATTCATTTCATTTTCATGTTTTATTATTATCCTAGTTGAATTCATCAATCGATTAAAGTGAGATCATTATGGAGGTACTGGAGGTACTGGATGGTGATTTCGTTCTAGTATGAGATTCGTCAGGAGTGTGAATTCATGATTTCGCTTCACAAGATTTGAATCCAGAACCTATCAATCTTCCAGGTTTTTCATAGTTGTCTAGCTTTAATTGACTCATGAATTCAATTATTAAATTACTATAATCTTCACAAAATCCCTCTCTAATTTAATCTTTTTTGATGTTTATACTTTAAAGAAAACTTTAATATTGGAAACATTTTACAGCAATGAGACGTGAGGGGATCGTTTATTGTTTTATGATCTCTTATTCAATAATCAATTTTTGGTTAATAAGCTTAGAGTATGATCATTGAAATAAAGTGGTTTTATCTTATGAAATCTGTTCTATCATACAATAGATTGTCAGTTCACTCATTTTGTAGTGCGTGCTACTTATATTGATATAA